ACAATGAATGAATGGAAACCCAAAATCTCTGTAAATGTTTATGAAAATTAATAAAATATAATTATAGGGGGGAAAAAAGTATATGACTGTGTGCAACTCAATCCCAATACAGACACCAAATTCAATTTTCAAGGAGATTGAAAGGGACATTGTTGAATTTATTTGAGAAGAAAGAGACTCAAATAAGCAAAGAACTTCTGAAGAAAAAAAAATGAAGTAGGAAGTATAGCATTCCTTCACCTCAAAACCTACTACCCAGCAGTAGTAACCAAAATAGCCTGGAACTGGTACAATGACAGGCATATAGACTAATGAAACAAAATTGAGAACCCAGAAATGGACCCGGCTATATATGGTCAACTGATATTTGACAAATAAATAAAGCTCATCAAAGGAAGAAATGACAACTTCTTCAATAAATGGTGCTGGCAAAACTGAACTGCTAACTTCAGAAAGCTGAAACAAGATTCATATCTCAGACCATACACAAAAATTAACTCAAGTTTGATCAGAGACCTGAGAGTAAAGACCAAAACCACTAACTTTGTAAGAGACAAAATGGTATAATGCTTAGACAGCCTAGTCTATGGTTTAAAGAAACTGCCAAATACAGCCAGAAATGCACAATCTAAAGAGGCTAAAATTGATGAATGGGACTTACTTATATTAAATTCTGGTGTCCATCAAAATCATTTTCCAGCAGAGTGAAAAGAAAGTTTACTGACTGGAAACAAGCATTTGGCAATATTATCTCAGACAAGGGTCTCATTTCAAAAGTATACCGAATACTACAGGGTCTCTACAAGAAAAAAAACCAACCACATGCAAATACAAGAAAATAAAATGATAACCCAATTGCAAAATGGGCAAATGACATAGAAAGACTTTTCACAGAGGAAAGCATTCAGGTGGCCAACAAACAGATGAAGAAATGTTCAAAGTCACTGGCAATAAGAGAAATGGAAATCAGAACCACAATGAGGTACCATCTCACCCTAATAGCAGTGGCAAAGTTTAGTAGGCAGTAAGTAATAAATGTTGGAGCAAATGTGGAGCATTAGAAACTCTTATATACTGTTGATGGGATTGTAAAATCTTACATCCATTCTGGAAAGCATTGTGGCATTTCCTAACATAGCTACTTCACTCATTGGAATATACCCCAAGAAAATTAGAACTGAGGCACAAAAAGGAGATCTGCATGCCAATGTTCATAGTAGCATTATTTACCATCACAAGAACATGGAGACAGCCCAAATGTCCAACCACAATAGAATGGATTGAGAAATTATGGTACATCCACACGATGGGATACTACATGGGATATAGGAGCAAGGATTTTAAAAAACAATACCTAATTTGGAAGAGGCTGGAGAGTAATATGCTAAGTAAACAAACTCAGTCCCTTAATGACAAATTCTGTATAAGACCTTTCTTGGAGATAGAAATATACCCAGTAAAACATGTATGAGCATCCAACAGAGGAAGGATAGGAGCAGAGGGGTGAGGATGGACAAGGGGATAATCATATGGCCACACAATTCGATGGGTAGAGGGAGGGGTGGGTAAAGGAAACCAGAAAGATTCGGTATGAAAAACAATGTATACGAACTTTGTAAGTAAACCCGTATAAAATAAAAATTTTCAGCTTTTGTCCAGAAAGAAAGCTCAGAAGATAGGAAGAAACAGGAAAGAATGGTAAATGGAATTGGTATGGGAGGAATGGAAGTGATGAAAGACAAATGGGCAGAAATGGGCACTGCTGTTAAATTGTCAGGATTGTAATCAGAGTCACAAAACAAAAAAAGTGCCAATTGTTACATTGAAAACCAATTTTATCTGTAAATTCTTATCCAAATAACAATTAAAATTTTGAAAATATAACAACAACAAAAATTTTTAAAACAAAAAATTTTGTTTAAAAAGTAAAAGTATATGACTATGTGGATCATAATAAACTATGGCTAACATTGAGAAAAACGGAAATCCAGAACAATTAATTATGCTCATATGAAGCCTATATCTAGACAAAGAAGGGAACACTGCATGGTTTAAAAATCAATAAGAGTTTGCCTCAGGGCTATACTCTTTATACATATTCAATCAGTAAACTGAGAAAGGGACTTGAGAAGCTGAACTTAATGAAGCAGAATGTGACCTCAGGATAGAAGGAAGACTCTTCAACAGTCTATGTTATATAGATAACACAATCTTGCTTACTCAAAGTGAGGAGAACTTGAAAGTCTTGCTACAAAAGATCAAAGATTATATCTTTCAATATAAATTACATCTTTCTTAACATCAAGAAGACGGAGTTTTACCAATGGACCATTAAGCAGCAATAAACAGAGAGAAGATTGAAGTTGTCAATTATTTCATCTTACTTATATCCACAATCTTGACACCAGCAGTCAAGAAATCAAAACACGTGTTGCATTAAGAAAATATGCTTTTAAGGACCTCTCAAAAATACTAAGGAGCAACAATGTGTTTAAAGATTAAATTACGAGTTTAAAGATTATGGTGTCACTGTCCTTTCAATCACTTGATATGGTCTGAGAGCTATACAATAAATAAGGATAACAGAAAAAGAATTGATGCCTTAGAATTTTGGTGTTTGAAAGAAATACTGAATATACCATGGATTGCAAAAATTTTGGTGTTGGAAAGAAATACTGAACATACCATGGATTGCCAAAAGAACTTTCTTGGAGAATGTACTCTGGAGACAAGGACGGTAAAGCTTCATATCATCTACTTAGGTCATGTGATGGCTGGAAAAGTGGAAAGTCCGTGAAAGGTAGGAAGATCCTCAGTGAGATGCATTGACAATAGTGACCGCAGCAATGGCCTCAATTATGTCAGAGGGGGTGAGGACAGCACAGGATAGAACAAGATTCAGATCTGTTGTTCATGGAGTTACTATGACTCACACTCTACTTGATGGAACTGATTTGCAATGTAATTAGCAACTGGCCAATTTTTTAAATATGTATTAGGTATATGTATAGGAAATTGTATTTAAAAACACGAATCTCACAAGTTTACCATCTATGGAAATGACAGGAAATTGGGTATCCACAGAAACAACAAAAAGTTCAAGAGAGGAATTAAATTTGTTACTTCAAATATTCACATAATATAAAACAATGTGTAAATAGTATATTCAACCTACCTTTACAAAAATGAATATATTTTGCAACCTAAAAATATTAAGGCACCCAATTGATAACTTCTTAGGGAAACATTTAAAATTATACCCATGATAACTCTATGCTAACTCTTAGGCAAATAGGATCTAACTACTATACCCCTCAAGCTCCCACTGTGTCAAAGGCAAATAGAACAGAGGCTAACTTGAGGCAAACATGAACACAAGAAAGTATAACTCCATCACAATCTTTAAGGAACTGTCACATGAACTATCACGTATATCACCTAAATCTTCTAAGCATCTTCAATTTAAAGGATAAATGCTAAAAGTACTGGATAAATGGAACAAATACAAATATTTTAAAAATATTTTAACAATTTCTGTACTCAGAAGTATATCCATGCATGTGAATGAGAGAGAGCACCAATGATTGAGTTTTTCACAGTGTTGTACCAGGAAAAAAGCTTGTATTATTCATCCATATAGACATGTAGAGTGAAAACCCTTGGTAAAGAAAGCTGGATCTGCCAAAAGAAGTATCACTTTATACAGAGAATGAACTGTATTGAAATAAAGTCTGTTTGGAATGTCTTTTATCTCAGCCTCTGAATCACAAAGCTGATAATGCCATCTTTATCAACAATTTCTCCTGCAAAATACAAAAGAATAATTCTAATTACATCTTTTCAGACAGCAAAAGGATACAAACAAAAACTTCTATCACACAAAATCTAACTTCGGGCTGCTATTTATTGTGCAAAGTGAATAAAAAGAAAAATAATACAGACTAGTATTGATAGTTACTGAGAAAATTGAATTACATGATAGCTTATTATTAAGCTCACAATAAAATCATGTGAAATAGTAAGCATTTAAAATGTGAAGCAGAAGAGTGAATGATAAAACAGATTACAGTGGATTTAAATAAAGCAGAGAAAAATGTAAAAATTAGAAAAGCCACAGAAGAAAGACACACTAGAGCAGTAGAAACATTCAATCTGATATTTCATTCAAGTTGAAAAAAGTACCTATGTACAATAATTGTTAAGATGCCATGAAAAGGACAAAGATGCAAACTACAAATTATACTGGGCATAGAGAGAAAATTCAGTATAACTGATAAAAGAAACTGTGAAAGAGTGCAAGCAAAGAAATAATCAAATATATGATAAAAGTATCACTGGGTTGAAGCCTGCAAACTAAGTACTCAAAAAAACAAATTTACTACCTTCAAACTAAAACCAACTTATAACTGACTATCCAGTGGCCTATAAATGGTACAGAAGTCAGTCTTTTTATCACGGAGCTCCTGTTAGATTTGAACCAACAGAGAAGTGGTGTGGGTTAGCAGTACAACTCCCTACAGATTAGACCACCATAGCTCACTACAACCTACATGATACGGTTGTGTACCATAGTGTTAGAATGGACCTATAACTGACCTCTGGAAGGTTTTCAGAGGCAGTAAATCACACAAAAGTTGATTGCCATCTTTCTCACATGGAACAGCTCATAGAGTCAAATTATATATCTTTGTGTTGTCAGTGTAATTCCTCACCACTAATTCATCAGAGCTAATTAAAGGAAATGAAAGATTTTCTGAAACAAAACTAATTAATGTAGATAGAACATAATCTTGATGCAGACTAGTTTTAGTATCAAATTCAAAGTAAGAATCATATAATTCAGATTGAAAAAGAATAAAGATATTATAATAGCCTCAAATAATAAGGCACTGCTTTGTCTTATTATTTGTATAAACATGATTTATTTAAAAAATCCTGCATATTTGTGAAAGGTGAAATGTTATAAACTAGAAATTATTTAACAAAAAATGTTCCATATAGAAAGATGATCTCTCTAGTATCAAATGGTTAAGTGCTCAACTGTTCAAATTCACCAGGTTCTACATGGGAGAAAAAGATGTAGCAGTCTGCTTCTAAAGAGATTCATAGCCTTGAAAATGCTATGGAGTTGTTGTTTGTTGTTGTTATGTGCCGTCGAGTCGCTTGCGACTCATAGCGATCCTATGTACAACAGCCCTAAACTCTGCTCTGTCCTGTGCCAATCGCACTGTCTTCGGCACTCCCATCCTGATTATCCCAGTCACTGAATCAATCCACCTCATAGAGGGCCTTCCCCTCCTGTGCTGTAGTTCTGGCAATAAGAATGTCTCAGATATACTGGTATCAATATCGTCAAGTTGGATTTGACTTATAACTGATTTTCCGTTGTTTCCCAAGGCTGGAAATTACTCAGAGGAGACAGTCTATCTTTCTCTCATGAAGTCGCTAGTAGATTTGAACCACTAAAAAACATAGGCTTTGGGTTAACAAGGCAACTCGCTATAGACTATATCATCCAGAGTTCTTCTCTTTTTAAATATATGTGTACATATTAGATATTCCTTTACATATCTTTTAAAGTACAGAATTATTTAAAAATGTATTGTAGGTCCAAAATGTAAAATTAAAGTAAATAACTTAAGAACTGAGAAATTGAGTTGGAGGAAAATTATGTGGTATGAAGTTTCCCAAGAATGTGTTGTTATTGTTAGGTACCATAAAGTCAAGTACAATTCATAGAAATCTTATGAACAATAGATCTGAAGTCTGTCCTACCTGTGCCCTCTTCATCATCTCCGACATACTTAAGTCCATTGCAGCAGTCACTGTATCAGTCCATCTGGTAAAGGGTCTTCTTCTCTTTCTCTGAAGAACTATCATTCCAACCATGATGTTCTTCTCCAAAGAATAGCCTCTCCTAACAACATATCTGAAGTATGTGAGATGAATCTTTCCCATTTTGCCTCCGAGAAGGATTCTAATTATACTTTCTCTAAGACATATCTGTTTGTTGTTTTGGACGTCCATGGCATAGTCAGTACTTTTATCCAATACCACAACTCAAAAGCATCAATTATTTTTCTATCATCCTTATTCATTGTTCAGCTCTCAGATTCATAGTAAGTGATTAAAAAGACCATGACCTGAATCAGGAGCACCCTGATTTTCAAACTGACTCCATTGTTCATAAGTAATTTTGTGAAATACCTGACTACCCAATGTACTATGTCTCCTTATCTCCTGACTGTTAATCCAAGGGTATTGATTGTGGATCTAAGTAAGATGAAGTCATGGACAATTTCAATCTTTTCTTCATCTACCATGATGTTGCCTATCTGTCCAATATTGAGAATTTTTGTTTTCTTATATTGAGATATAATCCGTATTGAAGGTTGTAGTCTTTGATTCTCTATAAAAAGTGTTTCAATTCCACTTCACCTTCAGCAAGTAAGGTTGTGTTATCTTCATAATACAGATTATTCATGTGTTTTCCTCCTATCCTGGTCCTACATTCTTTCTCAAAGGCTCCAGTACTCAAATTTTTGCTCAGAGAGTTTGAATAGATATGAAGAATGGATAAAACCCTGATGTACAACTTTCTTAATTTTAAACTATGTAGCCTCTTGGTCTAGGTATAGGTTTCATATGAGCACAATTAAGTGTTCTTGGATTCCCATTCTTCTCAAAGTTAGCCAAAATTTGTTGTGATTAACAAAGTCAAATGCCTTTGTATAGTCAATGAAACACAGCTAAACATTCTTCTGGTAAACCTCTGCTTTCA